CTGTAGCAAAGGCTAGTAGCTAATCATGTGGAATGTGAACCCAAGATAGTTTTTCTACTATGACCTACCACTGCTGTAGTTCAATTTTGGTCTGTTAAAACAGCCAGCGATCTCTTGGCTTGTGTAACTCAGTACCGCATTTGATGGGATTTGTTGCATTACATTGCCTCACAAGATTAAAATGTGATATGATCACAGCACTTCATATAATGTCACATTTATGTTACAAATGTAAAATATACATTGTAATACATGTTTTTTCTTTGCAACAACAGGAAACCAAATAATTAGATGTGCCCATATTCTAGTTATTCTATTCTATTTCAATGCTACTAACAATGTGTACTTGTGTAGCACCTTTAAGATAGCAAAAAATTGCAAAACATTTCATTGGAACATCGTGAAAAAGAAAATTCTCATTAAGCTATATAAGAAGGCAATAGTGCAAATGATTAAATGCTTGGTCAAAGAGATATAGTTTAAAGGAAGTGTTATGACATATGAATAGCAAGCCAAACCAAATTAGAGTCAGTATCACTGGATTTGCAAGATAGTGAACTTAAAACTCTCAAGGACCTTCACAATTCCTAAGTAAATTTTACAGATTTTGGACAATAAATTTATAACTTAAAAAAATCAAAAAATTGTTATCCAAAATGTAACTTTATGTGAACACAGATAAACAACAAAATAATCTAATTAATATCTATGAGCCAAGCGCAATCTTATTTGAATATAACCCCACAGCCCACTCACACACCAACAGGAAGACAGAAAGTTAAGGGATATTTTATTTAAAAATTAAATAATCATAATTTGCCAGTTTGAGAATCACTTAAACAATGAATATGAGCTGTTATGAAACGTGATGTTATGGGTTATATTGGAGTCACACAAGTATTGTACATCTTGTTTGAATTCTGAGGTCACCAGTCCTTGCAAACAGCTTCCCTAGACCTCTGGAGAATTTTTCCTTTTTTTCTTACAGACTGATTTTTTCAAAACTTTCAACAAGTTGAAAACTGGATAATAATTAGAGAGACACATAACTGAAAAAAAAATGTTCTGTCCAAAACTACCTCTGGCCCAAAACCCAGTCAGAGTTCACTCTTAGTCTTTTCTATCGTTTTAAAACTCTCTATGGTTGGCTGGCTAACACCGGTCCTCCACTGATAAACCAAGTGAACATACAACCAGCTGCCAGTCCCTGAGCATAATAAAATCTCTATGCCAATTTATCTACAATGTTCTTAGATCATTATCTTTCCAGGCCAGTTTCCAACAGCAAATATCAGACTTTTGTTCTCTCCTCCTTCTTAAAAAAAAACAAACTGCTGTTTAAAGAACAACATTCAATTATTAACTGCAACTTACAGTTCAAAACCAAAAACAAAAATAATAAAAGAAAAATAATGATGGCCTCAACAGAAGAAAGAAATAAAAGTGGTTGAACCTAAAGAAGTGTCCTAGGCCTAAGTCAGAAGTGTGAATTTTCGCAGATGATTGCACAATGTTTGGTACCATTTGCAAACTCCTCAGATACTGAAGCAGTCCATGTCCAAATACAGCAAAGCCTGGGCAACATCCAGGCTTGTGCTGAAAAGTGGCAAGTAACACTCATGCCACACAACAGCCAAGCAATAACAATTGCAATAAGAGACAAATTAAGCATCATCCCCTTGACGTTAAATGGTGCTACCATCACTGAATACCCTACTATCTACATCTCAGGGGGTTACCATTGTCCAGAAATTGAACTTCACTAGCTATATAAATACAATGCCTATATAAGGAGGTCAGAGGTAGGAATCCTGTAGCAAGTAATTCATTTCCTGACTCTCCAAAATCTGTCCACCATCTTCAAGGCATAAGTCAAGAATGCAATGGAATGCACCCCACTTACCTAGAAGAATGTGGCTCAGCAACACTCAAAAAGCATAACTGCATTCAGGACAAAGCAGTCTTTTTGATTGGCAGCACACCCACAAACATTTTCTCCCTCCACTATTGATGCTCAGTCAGAGCAGCGTGTACCATCTGCAAGATGTACTGTATAACTTCACAAAGCTCCTTAAATACCACCTTCCAAACCCACAGCCACTTCCATTTAGAAGGACAAGGCCAGCAGATACATTGGAACACCACAATCTGCAAGTTTCAACAAGTCACTCACCATCCTGAGTTAGAAATATATCACCACTCCTTCAGTGTCATTGAATCAAAATCTTGGAATTTCCTCTCTAATGGCATTGTGATCTATCTACAGTACATGGACTGCAGCAGTTTACCACCTTCTCAAGAGCAACTAAGAATGAGCCATAAATGCTGCCGTAGTAGTGAAGCTGTCGTTCCATGCATGAAATAAAGAAAGATGTAGGTAGGGAATTCCATAGCATAGGACATTGGTAGCTCAAGGCATAGCTGTCAATGGTGGGGTGATTAAAATTGGGGTCGCTCAAGAGCCAGAACTAATGAAAACAGATATCTCAACGGGTTAACAAGGTGTAGAACTGGATGAACACAGCAGGCCAAGCAGCATCAGAGGAGCAGGAAGGCTGACGTTTCGGGCGG